AGTGGGGTTGTCACTGTGGGGTCTCGGGGTCCCTTTGAGCCCAGTGTGGATCGCTTGTGTGTCACGTTATTTAGCACTGCTTTAAAAGAGGTATTACAGCTTGTCCAGCTGCTGCGCACCGTATGAGGGAAATTTAAAATACATTGCCGCAGTGAAATGGCAGTCTGGGGGACTTCCTTATCTACTGAGGGCCAACAGCTAGGAGATAATGCTTGTTTTTTGGGTTTTGTTGACAAAAGCGAAGGAATACACTGCAAAGGAATATCCTAGAAATGCAGTTCCTTGTTGCCAGCTCTGGGGTGGTGCCTTTATCTGCCCACATTCCTCCATTCACGGGCAAAAAGTGCTGCTCTTTAGCGCTGTAAACTGTTCCTAATTCCTCAATTAGGGTGCTGGAGATCTCACACTTGCTGCCCTGTTTTGCAGGGTTGAAGTTTGGTCATGACCAGGACAGGAAAATTTTGGACTGTCTGATATACTTGACAATAAACTATATAACTTCACTGGAATCTTTAAACTATATCTGACATTATTACTTGTCGTTTGGGTTTTATTTTTATTTTTTTTATTCATGAAAAATATTTGGCTGGAAGTTTGATGCTGTGTATATCTGAAATTATTACGATAACATTTAAACCCTGCCACTCCTCTTGTTATCCTCAGACAAATATGCTGGACTTTGTGTTTGCTGTTGATGATGCTGTGACCTGGCATATGATGAACTTGTTAAAGAACAGGAGTCATTATTCCTTCCTTAAATTTTTTGGGCCCAAAAAGATAAGTAACATACAGAGATATGGAGCCGGAATTTACTACAACACCTTAGTGCCATGCAATGGCAGGGTAAGTACAAGAAGTCTGAGTGAATTAAGTCAAATATTTATGTCTGTGAAGTATTAAAATGATTAGCTTAAAGCAGTTTTCAGGAAGCAAATACTGCAGATTGTAATTGTAGATTAACTTGTGCTATCTTCAATATTTATGTCTCAAACTGCTTTGCTAACAGCATTTTAATTAAAAAACAATCAGAGCAGCTGGTCTTACACCTTAAAAGTGTGAGTAGTGTTGTAATAACAGCTGAAGCATTTCAGGGATTGGATTTATATTCCTTACTGCTTTTTGTCTGTCAGAAAGGTGGTGGTAAAGTTCTGGTGGTGCTTCATTTCAGCAGTTGACCATGTAGTAACAGCAAAGTGAGCTGTTTGATATGAAGTGCAAATAACAACAGCAAGTTGGAATTGACATTTGTGTTGTTTGGTGTCTCACATCCTGACCTGTGAGGCTTGGGTGTAACTAATAATTCTGGAGAGTGGTTCTTGTCCAGCAAATCCTGTTCCTGCACCTCTGTGTTTGGTAGGGAGGGGGTGAGGGAATCACTCAGTCTTGCTGTTCTTGTCCCTGTACAAAATTTTGAGGTTTAAACCTTATTTGGTGTCAAAAGAGATTTGGGATTTCATTTGAAGGATCAGTGGTATTTGCCATGACATTGTGTTCTTGGCTCTTTATGGCCTGGTCCCACGTTCTAATGACTCAGTCATATCACAGGCTGTGGTCCTTTGTTATCCAGAAATTTTGGAGCTGGCTGCCTTGTTGTGGTGATAATCTTTGGAAATTCAGGTAGTGCAGATTGGTAACAAACTGTGGAAAGTCCCGTGTTTTTTCCAGTTACGTAAAATAAGCTGCAAAATCACTGGGGTTTTTTCCTAACATCAAAGAGCAAAAGAAAAAACTCCCTGTTACACACCCCACCTCCTAGTAACAGGATACATAAATGTCTGGAGGTTTTAATTTAGGTCTATGACAAACTACTGCTTGAGTTTTTTTAATATCATAAAGGATAATGTGGATTATTCCAGCTATTGTAATATTTGGCTGCTGACTTTATTGCAACTTTGATTCTAGAAAGGATCTTCATTTAATGTGTTCCATTTTTTCCCTGCAGAAATTTGAATGTGAATAGGAAATTTTTCTTTTACCTTTTAAGTTAATTAAAACATAAAAATGTTTTCCAGTTTTTTATTGGAGCTATGTGTGCCTTAGAATTAAGGACAGTTATGGGAAGTAGTAAGTTCCACGTAGGGAAAACAATGCAGGTATAATTGCTTTTTCAAAAGCATTTATTTTGCTTTGTTTTTTTTTTTCCCCAGATGATAAAATATGGAGTAATTAGCACTGATGCCCTGATTGAGGATTTGTTTCACTGGAAAACTCTCTATGCGGCTGGGCGCCTACAAAAACCGGTAACTGCTCAGTTTTCTCTCTGGAAATGCAGGAAATTCCAGGGCTGGAAAATAATCAGCTGGAATTTGAACTTTACCTGTTAGGGATCTGTGCAGCAGTACTGCACAAATAATCTGTCCTGATTTAGGGGTGTAGCCCCAGAGGGATAATCTCTCAGAGAGGAGGTGAAATGTAGTTCTTAATGATGTTCTGTAGAAAAACAGCCCCTAAAGATGAGAATATTAATAACAGTTTTCTGCCTGTAGGAAATCTTGAATAACTGGACTATATTAATGCCAAGTCCCTTTAATGTCAAATGTATTATTTGCCTTTTAGAACAGATTATAGGGGTGGCCAAAACTTAACACAGAAAAAGAATGGAAGTCTTTAAAGATGAAAGCAGCTTTGCTGTGCAGTTACTGTCTGGCTCATAATTGAATGAACCATGGGTTCTGCATGTTGGATTTTTCTCCTCCTTATTTGGATGATAAAAAATAATCTTTGCTTTCCCCCTCTTCCTGCCTCGATGTACTTTCAGCAGATGGCAGCAGTGCTAAGGGAAAAATTGTTATGAGGGGAGGGGAGAATTAGAGGGGAAATCACTTTGGGTCTTGGAACAGAAGTTAATTATGCTTTTAGCTAAAAAACTTGGGAGTGTAAGTTTGAATAAATTGTCTCAGACTACTGGCTTTATCTCCAGAGATGTATTACAGCATGATCCAGGTTAGAGCAGCTGTTATCTTTGTAAAGAATGAAACGGAATCCATTGAGAAAGATAAATGAAGGGAGAATTCGGGATGTCACATCAGCAGTGAATAGTGAATAGCTGTTTTCAGTGTAACTGTATTTGCTGCTGCTTTGATTTGTGACATGCTACATGAATATAAATTCTCTGTACTGTGAAAAAAGGCTTCCTTAACTGTGGTGCTCTGTCAGATTTACCCCAAGAATCAACAGTCATGTTTTACCAGGGTAATAACTATTGCAGTCTGACTTCCTGGGAAATTTGTAGCTCTCTGAACCATTGAAAATTTGTCCATAAATGCTATCAGTGTTTCAGGCATTCAGATTTTGAAGCCTGGTGTATTATTTTCTTTTGAAAAAATGCTTTGTATTGGGGGGATTTTTTAGAAAATGAGGAGGTTATTCATTTTGCTTCTCCAAAGCAAGGCTGGTGTCTTCCATGAGGAGGAATAGCATCTCTGCTGAGTTTCATGTTTTAAAAGGCTCTGTGGTGTCCTTGACAAGTCCATCACTTGCTGATGTTTCCATGGCAATCCTAAGGTATTGCAGTCACCTGTGTGACTGCTTGGGGTGCCACAGATTTTTCTGTTCTGACTTTCCTTAGATTTCCCTGTAGCAACCAGGTAGGAATGCACATCTAAGTGAATTGCTTGATGAGATTTGAGAAAAATCAAGGGGAGTACCTCTGTTCACAATGGCCAGTGGGTTTGAATTTTAAGGTGTTGTAGAGTAGACAAATATTAAAAAGCTGTCTTTTATAAGCAAGGCAGTATTGCTAAACCAGAGCACTTGAAAAAGACAAATGCACACCAAGCAGGGATTTCTAGGTGAGTTGTTTCTGGAAGGGCACAGTAATCTATTTCCTAAACCACCTTCCTTTAGTCTACCAGTGTGTCCTATTTTCAGTTCTTACCAAAGATCTGCTCTTTATTCCAGTGTATTTCCATATCCTAGGTGATTGGATTCTCTGGTTGGTCTTGAACAGTTTCAATGTTTCCTAAAAATAAACACTTCTTGTGGCAGGTAGAGGCATTCAGGTGATCTCTTCCTCATGGATAAGTGAAGATCCCTTGGAGTTCACATTCTGCTTATCCAAAGTGCAAAAATAAAGCCCTGCTTCTTCTAGGATAACCCCTCTCTGAGAAACTACTTGAAGCATTTGATAGGGGAGTCCTCTATTAAAAAAATAAATAAAAAATAATGAAGATGAATAAAAAAACATCTGTCTGGTGTTCTGTTCTCTTTTAGTATAGTCTTTTTTCTTATTGCACAATCACATGTGAAGCATTTCTGTTGATGCCTTCATATTTCTTCTACTGATTAACCTTAAATTTATGAGTATGAAAAGGTGACGAGCTCTTCAGAGATTAGCTAATGTCTGGTGCATATAGCACTTCCAAACCTGTGTGTGAAAACAGCTTTTTCTACAAGAGTGTTAATTCTTAAAAACATGTTCCTTTCATGTGGTGGGGATACTCTAATACTTGTTGTGCCATGCTAATAAGATCTAATCTTAAATTAATTTCTTACTCAGTCCGGTATGAAAAATAAATAGCATTTCTAGCTCCAGCTTCAGTAGCACTTTCCTGAAGTCTTTCTTCCAATGGCTCTGCTTTTCCAGGTGAAAATCCTGGCCCAGAATGAGAACAGCAGGCTGCAAGCTGCTCTTGTCAGCAACCTGAAGAGTGCAGTGACAGCAGCCTTCCTCATGTTGCCAGAGAGCTTCTCTGAAGAGGACCTTTACATGCAGATTGCAGGACTCTCCTACTCTGGTGAGTGTGGGGGGTCTGAAGTGGCTGGGAAGAGCTGGAGCTGGAGCACAGCTGGTGTCTCATGTGTGATAAATCATCTCCCTCCTCGCTTTGGGCCTGCACTGCTGCGTGCACTGAGAATTCTCTGAATGGTGGTTACGTAACAGCTCCACTAATTGGGCTTATTCACAGGAAATAGGTGTAGCCACATCAGCAACGCTGCCTATACCTGCTTGATTTATGAACAGCTAAGTGTGAGTGATTGGAGATGATGAAATAATGGGGGTTCTCTTCTGTTTGCATGGATTGTATTTTGGTGGAATGTTTCAAAACCTTTTGGAAAAAAATTTCTCTTTCCACTCAGTGCAATGTTGAGTCATCTGATAGTCTGACTCATACCTTGTCATCTCTTTTTGAGTGTGCTGTGTTTAAGGCTCTTATTTAGTTAACTCAAAGATCCAGGTTATGATTATTTGATTTACATTTAACCCTCCTGATTGGTGTTTGTTGAGTTTCTTTTTTTTAAGAAATTGGTAAGGAAAAATATTGAAGAAACTACTGCAAACTGTTCTTCAATATAAGATGTAATTGTTACAGTTTAACTCAGTATTGCTTTTTGAATGCTGACATCCTTTCTGCAATCTCTATGAAGGAGTTTGGTTGGAGCTGTACTTTTCACACCATTTCCTTGCCTCATACAGAAATGCACATTTGGCTTTTAAAGGAAGCACAGGGGGGTCAAAGCTGCAGCTTGGCTCTACTGAGGAGTGTCACTGTTTTATGTAACCCTTCTCAGGGCAGTCCAGATTGCAGCTCGCTTCTCCAGAGCAGTTCTCTCCTGAACTGTTGCCTGTTTTAAAGCAGCAGGAAGAGGGTGCTGACAGTGGGATTGCCAGCCAGGGGTATTTACTGCTTGAAACGTGCCCAGCACTGGCACTGGATTCTTGCTGGCCACTAGTGACCAAGTTACTTTTGATATACTCTTTGAAACAGTGCAATTAAACAGAAATCAGTAAAATGCTGACTGGCTGTGCTGTGTGAACAAAGCTGAGGCAACACAGCTCCCAGCTGGGAATGTACAAGAAAAAGGCTGCTTGTGGATATTTATTTTGCTGCCATTTCCTTAAGTCTTTCAGAGGCTGTACTAGTAGACAGAATTGATTTTATGTGTTACTCTAATCAGTCTCCTTGGAGACTGCTGAAGAGTGTTGTTCATGCTTTAATTTAGAAAATGTTTATCCTTTATTTTTTCCTGCATTTTTTGAGAGCACTGAGTCAGTACCATTTATATGTGAAGTGTTTGTTTTGTGGCTCGGCATAAACTGAAATAAACGAAGGAAGGCTAGCAAGTTGCCACCTTTCAACAACATTTGTCTCCTGAATGTGGGAAGTGGGAAAAGGAATTGATTCAGAATTTTGGTTGTTGATACAAGCTACACTGAGTATCTAACTCCTGGCTGGAAACCCAGCAAGCAGCCAGGCTGGTACCTAACAGAGGTGGTGGAATGCTTTTATACAGACTGACTGGCTTTTCATTTATTCTCTTTGAAAATTTTTAGTCATGGATCTGAAATTAAAGTGTAAAGGCCAGTAAGGTAACAGTGGTGTTAAAATGAATTTCTTTTTGAAAGTACTAACATGGCTAAGAAGAAAAGTGATCCAGTGATTTTACCATGACTGCCATTAGCTGAGCTCCAGGTACTGCCCTTGGAGTGCAGAAACAATGCAAACTGTTACCTCAGATTGGAAAAGTTTAGCTCATTTGCTTGTGGATACAAAGTATGAGGACTGGGCAGTTTGTTTAGTAACTGCTGAGACTGAGGTTGCAAAGACTGTCACTGTTACTTGACAGCTGGAATTATTTTGTTGTGCAAGTGAAGATGTGGACATGTGGGCTGATGACGTTTTATCGGAGGCCACATAACAATATGTGCCTTCAAGGACATTTTTTCTGTGCTTAAAGGTGTTTGAATAGTTTTTTTTTTTTACTCTTAGAAGATGATTATTGTGGATTATATTGGCATATATAATATTGGAGAATAGAGTTTTAGATGACAGCTCTGTACTATGTTGATTTCTGTTTTATTTTCCTTCTCAGTGTTTTTGGGGTTTTCCTAATGGCTTAACCCTCTCTTTTCCTGCCTAGGTGATTTCAGAATGATAATAGGAGAAGACAAATCCAAAGTGCAAAACATAGTGAAGCCCAACGTTGCCCATTTCCAGAAGCTGTACAGTACCATACTCCAGGACTGCCCTCAAGTGGTGTACAAGCACCATCTGGGAAGGCTCGAGGCAAGTGTTCTCCTTCTAAACAGCTTTAAAACAAGCAAGTGCTTTGTCACTGACAGAAGGCAGGAATTGTGCCATGCACCAGGAGAGCAGCTGGAGTCTCTGTGCTTGCTGTTTGTTATGTTTCTGTTGTTTAGTTAATTCTGCAACCAGCAGACTCGCCTTAAATACCAGTTTTTTCATATGGAGGAGGAACTACTGCTCATTTTCTCTGAGTATGGGCACAGAATAGAGCCCAGCAAGGGAATCAGAGCAGATCATTGTAAAACGTGTGTTCTAATGGCTTCCATATGGAAATAGCAGGCTAGGAAGTGAGGAATAAACAGATGGTTTGTGTTAGAGAGAAGAGGCTGTAACTCAGAGGTGCAACTTTCTGCAATCAAAAACTTCATCTCACAAAAAAACCTCCTCAAGTTCTAGCTAGGAAGATGAGCTGATTAGAGCCAAGTGAAATTCTGGCATTAATACCCATACAAAACGATTTTTTCCTTCTGTTTTTTTGGGAAATCCAGAGTGACCAATATCTTGAATTCCATCTTTCCAGTGTAACATTGCAGTTAGGGGAGAGATGCCACAGTCAGTAGCAATTTTTCCTTTTTGTAATCTGCATGTCCCTGTGTGAATATTCAGGTGTGATACAGACTTGATGGTGAAGTCACAAATAGCACCACTTGTCTCATGGACATGGGCATCTCTTCATCCTCAAGCCTTGCTAATTCTCTCCCAAATGCCACCTTTTAGGATGTGTCTTTGTTAGAAATTGATTGAACTGCAATTAACTTAATGTTTACTGAGTACAGTAAACAGTTTTACTGCTATACTTTGGAGTAAAATACAAGGAAATCTGTATTATCCTGTAGCTGTCTCCATGTTTTCATATTGCTTGTGAGCAGTTTGGTGGAAGCAATATTTAAATGAATTTGGGAAAGAATTAGGAACACTTCCTTCAGGAAGAAATTCCTTTAAGCAAATCCTGGTAGCATACTGCAAATTTATTGCTGGATAATAAATCTCTCCACAATCCCATAACAGTCATCAAGACTGCTTCAAATCAACGGCAGAATGAGGGCATTTAATCAACAAAGTGCTTTAATACTTTATTGCTCACACCTTGCAGTGGTTATTGGCAGTTATTGGCCAGGCTGAGGTGGCTGAGTGCTGCTGGGGGTGCAGTTAACACAGAATAGAACTCCCCTCTCCAGGATATGCAGAGCTACAGAGAAAATTCCTTCTTCAAAGGTCCCTGAGAACCAAAGGAAGGCAGAGCCCAGCAGAGTTTTGGTTCAGGCATGGATTCCTCCCACACAATGCTCAGAGCTGCTGGCTGTCGGTGCCTCTGGAGTTGTGGCTGACTCATCTGGAGATCATTTTCTCCACACTGACAAAAGGGAGTGGAGAGGGCAACCAGACTCCTGTCTGATGTCTCCATGAAGTGGCTAAAACCTTGTGTGGGAGGAATGGAGCTCTTCAGATTTTCCTCTGCTTTTGGAGAGCTCTGCCCCATCGTGCATTACATTTTGGAGAAATCTGTCCAGGCCTGCATGTTGGTATCAGTGTATTCAAAAAGGGCTCGTTGGATTTCTGATTTAGATTGGAAAATGTGGGATGAATGTTTTCTTCAAATTATACAAACCAGATGTGGTTTGGAGTTTAAAGCAGAGAAAATGGTTTTCAAGCTAAACTTGAAATGTGTGTGTGTCTGCAGTTTGATTATATTCAGGCAGAAGAAACTCAGCTGAGAGGTCTTTGGGGAACTTTTTTTTTATTGTCCTGTACTTAAGTTTCCAAAGGAAATTGGATACAACAGAAATGATACAGTTTCAATGAAAACTTAGTTGCAGACACAGCAAGATCGTGCCTGTCTTCCCCTGAATAAAAACCCTTGCACTGAGTAATTCTTCAAGTTGAGAACTGAGATACTGCATTTCCCTGTGCTTGGGAAGTTTTTATTAGCATTGTCAAGGACCTTTTCTAGTGAAATGGATCATATTCTGTGAGATATTTATCACAGGTCAATTTTCTGACTTCTTAAAAAAAAAAAAAAAAAAAAGATAACTGAATATTTTTAATGTTTTATTTTTATAACGTGCAGATTGATAAAAGTCCAGAAGGTCAATTTGCACAGCTTATGGCTTTGCCAAAGACTCTGCAACAAAAGATAACTGCTCTGGTAAACCCTCCTGGAAAGAACAGAGACGTGGAAGAAATTTTACTGCAAGTTGCCCATGATCCTGACTGTGGAATTGTGGTTCATCAAGGTAGGTCTGGACCAATGTCTGTAAACTCCTTTAAGACATGATAGATTTACAGATCTGTTGTGTATGTTCTCCTATTTCAGAAGGGTGGGGTAAAGGAAAAGGTGGAGATTAATCATGAAATACATTCCTAAAAACCTGGGTTTGGATTTGATTACAAATAGCTTATCTGAAATAATATCAATAGCATTCCTAATGATACAGGAAGATATGTTTTGGGTTGGCTCCTGAAAGAGGCAGAATTTAAGGAATAATAGTGTAGCTGCTTAGATCACCTGACTCTGGTGCTTCCATCTTCAGGCAAAACTTCATCAAAACACTGAGTTTTATATCCTCCCAGTCAGGGATGGCAAGGCTGAGGTCATTTTCTGACTTGCTGACATTTCCCTTCACAGTCATCATGGTTAGCCCAGACATGTGAGCCCTGGCAGAGAGCTCCAGCTCGGAGGAAAAAGGCTGAGCTGCTTCTCATCAGCACAACTGCTCTGAGGCAAGATTATGTCATATGAGCAAGTTAAAGCTGATGCTGCAGACACCAGTGTTCTGGTACACGGCAGGAAAATTAAAAAGTTTAGTGCTTGGGGTCCTTTATGCATTTTAAGAACCTGACACATTTTCTGTTCCAGGTAGCAAATTTTGCAAGCTCTCTGAGCACAGCAAAAATTCCCAAGAAGCCTGGGAGCCACGAGGCACTAAGCAGGGAGCTGAGGGAGCTCTCAGCCTGATTTCTGTGGGGGAAATAAAGCTCCTGGGTGCTGCAGTTCTCCATGGACAGCTTGGGATGGGCTGCACCTGGACATGGAGGTGTTCAGCTTCTTTCTTGGGCTGGGCTGAACCAGTAAAGGGATAAAAGCTGGATCTGGGAGCAGAGCCTGCAATGTTTGAGCTGCACACAGAGCTTGTTGTGTTGTGCTTGTATTTCTGGAGCTCTGGTAGGCACAGCTGGGGCTGCACAGGGAGCAGCAGCAAACTGGACACATCTTCTCAGGCCCTGCAATTTAAACTCTTAGGAGAACAAATCAAGACTTTCACTTTTGTGGCCAAAGCATTTTCTTAATCCTTTAATCTGGGTAAAAGCCAGGCCAAGCCATTTGGGAATCCTACAAGGCAGAGCTGATTACTCAACTTGAATTGCATTGTCCCAAGATATTTTGCCACATCAACACCATTTGTTCCTTTCCCTTCTCTATTCCTACCCCTTAAATGATTTTCCAGTGCAATATTGTATCCATGAATTATGCTAAGCTTTGTTCTTCAGTATGGAAGCAGGATTTAAAAATACTTGGAATTATATTCCATGGGTCAATGCAGAATGTGTCAGTTTGGAAGAACAGCTCTGAGACTGCTGGGGTTCTATGTTTTTTTTTCAAGTATTTAGTGATGTGAGTAGTTTTGTACATACCAGTACGTTTTTATATGTGTTAGAACAGATACAACTTAATAGTTCTGAAAAAAAAATTAAGATTTTTTTTTAAACTGTTCAATAAGAATCCCTGGACAATGAGAACTGAATGTGCCACAGTGCAAAGTGGTAGGCAAGCCTTATCTCCAAAAGCTGCAATTTAGAAAAGCCAGGGAAGAACTGCACTATGGAGGTGTCTCTGCTTGATCAGAGAGGTGCCAAATCCCAGTTTCATGTTGGAGTAAACAGGGTATATCATTTGTTCTGCTCTAGAACGTGAATTTACCAGCACTTAGATGAAACAACTCTGAATCCTTTGTGGTTAATCATCTTAGTAGAGAACTAATGGGAACACTAAATAAATGGTTCTGATCAATTCCTATTGCTTGTTGTCTGTTTTAATACTGATTAGGGTTGTATTTTTTTTTTTACATATGATATATATAAAATAAATTAAAATAGTTTAGAGAATATTTTTAATTAGTATGAAAAAGCAGAGAAAACCCAAATTTTCTCAGTGTACATTTTACTTTCAGGCTAGCTCAATTGGATAGCTGGAACAATATTTAACTTGTGCATGGTGGAGGGGGGGAAAAAAATCCACACACAAGTGCTGAGATGGGTAACATCTGTGTGCTTTTCCCTCTGCAGGCATTTCAGGAATTGTGAGATCCTCCAGCGTGGTGCAGAGTGCTAAAACCATCCTGACAGCTGGTAAGAATGTGTGTGATTTCTGACAACATGGGCCTTCTGATTTCACACAGGAAAAATGACAGGGCCCCAAGATTGTCTTGTTACAGGAGTTTGAAGAATAAACTTTTTGTGTGTTTCATCAGAATTCCCTGGAAAATAAAAGCAACATTTAAAGCTTTATTGCAAAATTATCAAATGATGAAAGGAACTGGAGTCTGTGTAACTCCTAAACAAACCAAACAACAGCATCAGCTTTCATTTTCTCTGTTTCTGGATCCATGCAGAGATTTTGTGGAGCAAAATAATTGGGAGAGGTTAAAAACAGTGTTATTCCTATTGAATTTTAAGTTATCCTGAGTGCCCTGTAGGGCAGAGCTGGTTAAGTGCAGGAGTAGAACAGAAATAGTTAAGCTGTGATTTTTTGTGCTCTCTTCCTCCCTGTCCTGATGGACAGAAAATCACCTCTGGGGCTTCTTAGCTCCTCTTGTGTGTCATGCAGTAAATCACTGGCAGCCTCTCCTGGCACTGGCACTTTGGGGGGTCCTAATGTATCTTTGAGTAACACTTGTAATTTTTGTCATGGTTTCTACTTTGTACACCTGAAATCAGTTATCTGTGAAATGTCTCTATTTCCCTTGGTTTTAACTGCTTTTTGCTTTATTTATGGTGGTTTTTTTCCCTTTAAAACAAACTGGAGTTTCCTTCTAATCAATTGTATAGAGTTGTATTTAAAAACTATTTTCTAATTGTGGTTTTAGTGGTGAAAACATATTTTTGTGATTTTATTTTAGGTAGAGGAAAGCAATTTTGGTCCTTTGCCTCCAGCACAAGCCAAATTTGAGCAAGGAGGCTTGGGGGAATGGATTTTTCTTACTTTTTGCACGATTTAAGTTTTTTTTGGGTTTTGGTGGTTTTTTTAAATGTATTTATACTTTTCTACCAGAATCTGGTCAAAACCATTAGTGACAGAATTCAGGAGTGAGATTTAACTGCTCAGGGATGTCTCCTCAGTATTTTTGAGGTGTGAGGTTTGTGTGATCTGCCCTGGAACTGAGGAGGGATGAGTGTCCATGGCTTTAGAGTTAATTAGCAAAAACCTTTTGCCCTTTTTTATTTTTAATATTTGTCTCCAAACATTTATGATTGAGTTTATATTAAATCTTTCAGTATCTTCTAATGAAGATTTTCTCCCAGTTGTGGTTTCTTAATTTAGAATGCATCACTGGGGCAGCATTCCTGGCTGTGCCAGCTCTTGGGGCTCTCCATGTTCATAGGAAACAGAATTTACACAGAGAAAGCTGGAATGTGGCTCCTGCATGGAAATATTTGCTTGACTCAGGCAAGGAATGTGTTTTACAGGAAAGTGTGGAGCTTTACATTCAGTCCCTAAGGATGCTGCATTTCTTTCTTTATTCTTTTTCCAAATCTTGTCTAATATTCTGTTCCCCTAAGACCTATTTTCACACTTTCTAGTAGAGACTTTAGGAAAAATATAAAGCTCTGGCCTTCTGCAGTGCTTATGTCAGGAGTAGTAGCTTAAAATAATCATGAAATAAAAGAGAATCATGAAATCTGTGGCTCTATTAAGTTCTGACTTCTTATTGCTGTTCCTAACAACTGTACAAATACTTTGCTTGCGAAAGAAAGTTTTCATTAGCTGGCCATCACTCTTTTTAAAGTGTTCTAGGGGACACAGTCTGTTTTCTTTAGCTGATTATTTTACCTTAAGAACACCAGCAAAGGTGTGACTCCTGCTCTGGTGCACAGCATGGCAGTGCAATATCCAGCATTTCTAAATGCAGTGGTAAATCAGCAATAGCTGTGCTGAGATGCCAGGCTGGGTATAACATTACTGGCAAGAAGCACAAGAAGGAATTTCAACCCATTTAAAAGAACTTTTCTCATCTTTCTCTGCCAATGTGGTTTTCAAGTGGAGCTCCAGCTCTGTGTTTTTGTTTGTTGTTAAATGCCCTGTTTAGTTTTTGAAAATGTGCCTGTGTATTTCTTCGAGGCTATGGTGAGGCTGCCTCTCTGTTTCCCATTAGAGATGGCACCAGGGTTTGATTTGTTTTCCCACACAGCCAGAGCCTGCCTGGGCTTTGGGAACTCACTCTGCAACTCTTATATTTAGCTCCTCTGAAGGAGATGTTGATACTTCTTCAGCTTCTTTCTTCTTTATGTTTTACTCAAGGAATGCTGCAAGCCTTGAACATTTTTCTATAAATACAATCTTACAGATTAAATCATCAGTTGAAGCATTTGTCCAAGATACTTTTAAGTTAGCACAAATGTTCAGAATAGCATTTGTTTTCAAGGCTTTTTTTTTTTTTTTAAAGGAGCATGTTTACATATAAAATAGTCTGGTTTTGTGATAACTGCTCTCTTCATCAGCTGCCTGAGCAGATAACTGCTGGCTCCACTGTAAATATCTGTAAATGTGCATGCCACACTACAAATATATAATTATTTGCTCCACATGACAGCTGTCCAGCAGTGCATGCATCAAAAGGGAATCCATCACACTGCAGCCAGGCAAACCTAGAAGAAGCTTTTGGGGACTCCCAGCCAAATCTGCTGTCTTAGAGCACCAACACTTGCAAAAATCTCGGTGTGGATTGTTAAGTGAAAGCAGACACGAGCTGTGTTTACACCGAAACGCTGTGGGCTCATCCCATGTGCACCAGGGCTTAGTTCTGTCTCCTAGAGTGGAAGAATCTAAAGGGGAGGTAGAACCACCAAGTCACCGATTCAGAGCTGAAGCAGAAAGACATTTCCATGTGGTCCAAGTGCTTCAGATTCTGCGAGCGAGCTGTAATTACAGCCATTAACTTTTCCTGCAGCTGGGATTCATCAGCCCGAGCGCTGCTGCAGGGGAACAGCTGGATGGACAGACCTGTGCTGGGCCAGCAGCTCCTTCCATGCCTGGTGGAGCTCAGGGAATGGAGAGGGAGGAGGAGGAGGATCTGCTGAGAGCTGCTGCACAGGCAGAGCAGGTGGGCAGGCTGATAGGAGCAGTTCCCCTGCAGGCTGCAGTGCCTGCACCGTTCCCTGCAGTCCTGCAGCAGCTGCACTGCACTTCCAGAAGCGCCTGGAATTCATTGGAATGGCAGAGCAGCAATTCCTCCAGCAGAGGGGCTGCATCCTGCAGCTTGGGCATTTTCAGAGCCACAGTTACACAGTTTTAACTTCTTTCATTTGTGCTGTGCCAGAGCTCAGCCTGGCTTTGTGCTGCTGCAAGAATTGTTGCTCTGTGTGCAATCCCCATGCAGATTTGTCAGGCACTTCAGGATTTACGTGGTTATTTTCTTGTTATTTGAGATGCTGCAAAGAAAAGCCTGTCATGACTTCATTAGTGTGCTTGATTTTGCAAAAACCTAGTAAATATGGAAAATCTGGAGCCTCCATATGGGAGTTTGTCAGTTCAAAATGCATGTATGGATGTTTTTCCTACAAAAGGTGAAGTTGAGTTTATTTAAATTGCAGTTGGAGACATGTGAAGTGCAGAACTGACTCAGAACAGAAGTGATTCTCTGTAGTCTATTTGTTATCAGAGGCTTCTTACTCTGCCTCATTTCTTCAGAAATAAGAGTGTGCACTTTTCCTACTCATTTGAGTTCTTGCAACTCAACTTTGAATGCATCTATCACTTAAAATATTATATCTTTAATTGTTTTCTTTCTTTTACTTTCCTTTCTTCATTTTTTTTGAGGTCTTTCCAAATCAAATATTATTATTCCCATCCCACTTCTCCCCTCCCAACAACAACAAAAAAAAAAAGAAATCCAGTGCAACACATGGCTAAACTTGGGTTGAGGTTCTTTGTTTGTTGCAAATCTTTCCTTGTGTTCTGGGCTGTGATATTGTGTGACTTTTGGCTAAATTCCTTGTGTATTTTTAGTCAGTCATGTCAAGTGTTCAGTTAAATAAACACAGGAAAGATTGTAGTAAATATTACTACACCTTTAATCAGTGCACATGTCAAAATGAGAGCTTTTTGTGCAGCACTGGAAAGTTGCCTTTTCAGTTCTGAATTTGTAAGGGTGGGATTAGACTGCTGTAATGTGAGCAGTCACTCTGAGTGTTATGTTGGGGTTTTTATTTGTTTGGTTTGGGGTGATTTTTTTAAACAAAAAAGGAACAGCAAGTAGCTGCACTGGCTGGGGTCTCAGAACCCCAAAGAAATGCCAAGACTAACAGTGTTTTGGTTTTAAATTTACAAATACTCCATGACTAAACCCAGCAAAATGCTGTGGGTTTTATACTCTAGGTCTGTAAGACAAGGCTCATCTCTGCTGGAACTACAGAAATCATTTAACTCCAAGGATACATTTTACAATTATTTTGGGAGTCATCCTCAGTTCCTTCATATCTAAAACTCATAAATGCTTGGAGACAACAATTGCTGCTGGATCTCTGAAAATTGAGATGTCTGACTCTATTGTATGCCATGGCATGGTATTACCAGAGTTCTGCTCTATTTGCTCTGCTTTGATAGCATTAGAAGTATTTTTGGTGGCATTGTTTACTGTGTTCTGACTGTGACAGGAAGGTTATTTGCATGTCTGCCTGCTGGATTAGGCTGCCATTCCCCCAGGGAAATCCTTCCTGTGATGCACTAAGCACCTTCTGGCTGAGTCAGCCTTGCTAAATGTTGATGTTTTTTCTCTTCTTTTTTTAGGGGCAAAGAAATCCGTAACTTACAGTCTGAAGAAATTATATAAGATGACAAAGGGAGGGTTAAAGAAGACATCTTGAGTCTTTACATACTGTGTATGGGTAAATAAATGGTACTTTTTCTCTAAATGTTTTGCAGATGTGACTTTGCATACTTGAGAAGATTACAGTGTATTTAAGAAGTCTGTTCTGATGATTTACATGCCCAATTTTCCTAATGAAATAGGAATTTTTCTAATGGGAGGTTTGTTGGCAATAGGGCAAAGGAATTATACTCTGTTAATACTGAAATGAATTTTCCTGTATATTTTGAAGAGCCCTAAGTAAAAAAGATTGCTTGTACAGCTGGATTCAAACCCAAAGTCACTCGTTTTCCATGTGTTAGTAGCTTTACTTCCCAAAATACCCTCAGAGCCTCTTTCAAAATGATCAATATCCCAAATTTAGTTCTTTTAGGGGTTTACAGAACTGGAGAACCCATTGAGTTTTCAGTAGGTATGAAACTGTCCTTTGACATTCCTGCCCTGACGAGTTCATCCTTGGAATTCCTCTGAGGATGCTGCCTTTGACATCTTGAACACCAAAAACTTGCCACAGTGACTTTCAGTGTGGGAGAGGGAAAAGAGCAGCTTGGCAGGAGTCAGATCCTTTAATAAGGATATTTAATAATATTAATAAATACGGATATTTAATAATAATGAAATTGTGTGTTCCTCTCACAAGACTGAGATGAAAAGTACCCAGTTCATGGGCATTGTTACAAGGGCCAGAGTTGGAAGGAAAATCAGAATTCCTTGGTCTCTTTGGGCAGACTTATTCAATATTTGTTATTTGGCAGAAGATTCCATCAAAACACTTGAAAATTTGGAATATTGGGAACAAAAGCACTGATTGTTCGATTCTTTGATTATCTTTTCTTTTCCCTGCCCACAAAGATGAAACCTGAACTCCCTTTAAATTAGCTAAACTAAAGCAAATTGGAGTTTTACATGACTTGTTACATTAATCATGCCATGAAAGAATGGGCATTGCTGCCAGTATCCATGTCTGCTGGAATAAATTTGGAGTATCTTTTGTAAACAGAATATTTTTCACACTGACTCAGGTGGGTTTGCTGATTTGGGAATTTTTCCTTCAAGATCTCATTTTATTTGTGAGAATGTCAACAATAAAAATAATTTTATGATAAAAAAAAATGGAAATAAAATGTATCTTTCCTGAGCAGCATGATTGTTTTTTTTTCTTATGTATTATGTGATCATCAGGGCCATCTCTCAAGCTGCATTTGATTAGTGATCTCACTTTAAAAAATAACTTATTACAGTGAAGTTGTCTGCTAATTGTTTCCAGGGAGAAGTTCAGAGGATAAATTTAAGAAAGACAATAGAAAATACATTGTTGTATGTAATAGGACTCATACAGGCTTGCTTTAATCACAGGGAAACTTTTAAATATTGCTTATCTTGAAATATTTGACTTGGAAATTTTAATCCAGGAAATAATTACTGTGAAATAGGAAATAAATCAGTGGGAAACTTTCTAAGGTCAGAGGCAGGTTCCTAATACTTTGTATTATCCATTGGTGATAGAATGTGTAAAACAAATCCCCTCAAATGTCCCTTTGCTGATGCTACAACCTTTATATAGGGGCAAAGAGTGTTTGTGTGACCCTGACATTCTCTGGCCCTATTAGTAAGAGGCCAAAGTCCCCAGTTTGCAAAGTTTATATTACAAAATGTGGAACTAGGGGATTTAAGCCACTTCCAGGTAAATCTGGATTTTTTTTAATGATGAAATGCAGCTGCTAGCATTTCCAAGCAGCTTTCTTTTAGAAGTCCTTAAAAACACAGTTAAAGAGAATGTTCTGGATATTAAAGACACACTTAAAAGTGGGTTTTGGTGCTTCTGAAGGTGCTGGTTACTGAGATGGAGGTTCAGAACATTAGAGGGCAGTGACAAATCAGTGTGGTGTGAGATGAGCTGGCCTCACTCCCGCAGTGGAACACCAGTCTCCATCCTGCACCTTGCTGGCTGAGCATTCATCCCAGAGATAATGTTCTTGTGGGGAAAAAGGAAAATGGTGCAGTCCTGCTTGCTGTTTAGCAGCCAGTTAACTGTTGTGGTGTGCAGCAGATGCTGTGTGGCGTCAGGCCCTGCCCAGCACTGAGCTGTTTGTCACTGTCCCTCTGCCAGGGGATCCCTCTGTGCCTGCACAGGTGGGACTTTACTGCACCTCCCGTAGCCTCAGAGTTGCTGGATACCCACTGCAAGGCTTGATCTGGCTTTATGAACTGTGCACAGCAATATGAGAGGTCATTTCATGCTCTTTGGAGGGAGTTTTGCAAATCCCAGCTCGATAGTTCCCAGTTCCCTCCATCCAGTTCCGTGCAGTTGATGCGCTGCCAGTATCCGAGTCTGTGCACTAAATCTTTGGGAGACGTAACAAAGTCCTTCCTCCTTGTCCATATAGGCTGAAAACTGGATTCTGCTCTGTAAATCATTCATCTTGTGCTTTTTAAAGAGTGGCCTACCTTTCCCCTTGGGGCCACTGGTCTTGAATGTATTTATTTTTCTGGCAGAGAGCCACGAATGAATCATAGCCCTGAGCAGCTCGCTCTGAACTCCTCACCATTGTTAAGAGAATACTTGGGGCAATTGTTGCAGAGCTTTGCTATGTAAAACTTTTAAGAGAAGAAAGATTGATTTCAGCCTTGTTAGCTGCTTTTGAAGTTCCCCACCAGTTGTGTGGAAATTATTTCTTCTGCTCATACAGCTGTAATCCACTAAAATAACCGGGGATTGTTGCACGGGAAGTGGGGACATGGGAATATGTTACTGCCTCTTTGTCCTAATGAGGTGTGGTTGTCCTTTCACCAAAACAAAGTCACTTCAGCCTTTCTTTCCATTTGTAACTTTCCTGTTTATACCTTCCTGCTCCATTTCCATACTTTATTGTTTCTCTTCTTGACTTAATTCTCGAGTCTTTCATTCTGTTCTTCAGACATCCCTCCTTTCTGCCTTGGCTTGTTCCACCATGGATATTGTTTCATGCTTCCTCCCCCTTTTTCCTGTGTAACAGAGCTTTCATTAAAGGCAACCAGGCAGATGATTTATTTCTGATGTCTTAAAAGGCTTCTTTGTAATGAAGAGCCTGGACCCAATCAAACTCCTGAGGGTTTATGTAGGTGAGTCAGCAGCGTGGGCCTCACTGCCTCTGACATCCACAATGCCAGGGGAGTGTGGAACAGCCTCCTGCTCCAGAGGGAATGAGCTGGATGACACAGGAAGAAGGGGAAATAAAAAAAAAAAAATAATAAAAAATTTGACTGCATACATAATCATTTGGCTGCTCCTAAATTCGGTTTGGAGAGGGCACAAAGCTGAACCACACAGGCTGCTGACCTCCATCAGCACACGGATGGCGTGTTCTTCATTGCTTGCACATTTCCCCTTTTTCCAAGTGTTGGAGCAGGGAGTGTCTCCAGGTGCCTGACTGTGGGACCTTCCAAATTCCATCTGTATCTGGAAGTGGAGAGCCTGTGTTTCTCACCTGGGCTTCCCTGAGCCTTCTCTTTAGTTTTGTCAGCAGATGGGAGCCAGCGCTGCAGCCTGAGCACAAGGAAGGTGCCCATAGGCAGCAGAGAGCTGAGCTGGGATCCCTTTCTGGCAGAAACATTTTGCAGCATCCCAGAGCTTCCTGATGTTTGCAGCAAACATCTGTGCCAAAACTGGGAAGAACGAGATGGACACAAAGGCCAGGATTCCTGGGTGGCTGAGGGAGCTGGAGCTTGTTCTGCACACTGAGGTGGTAAAACAAGAGCCTGCCCTGACCTGGGAAAGTTCAGAATAAACACAGCCCTTGGTGAGTGGCCAGTGCAGGGGGATCTGAGCAGGGCTGTGACTCATGCCTTTTCCCAGCAATTAATTTAAAAATAGAATTGAAGTTGAAATATGCTTTGAAGGTCAGAATATCAGGTCAGTGTGTGTCTGATGATTTTTCTTGGGTAAGGTGTTGAGAGAGGACAAAGTATTCTTCATTTTCAAAGTCACTCTGCTGGCCATACAATCTGTGTAGAAAATGAATTTTCTTTGTATTTTGTATATTGCAGGAAAAAGAGACATTACCTCCACATAACTCTTTTCTGCTCTGCTTTTTGTTTGAGACAACAGCTGCTCTGTCATGTTTGATACTGTGGTTTCACAAAGTTTTGCAGTGACCTTATTACCTGTTTATCTAGATAGAAATCTCCACCACAGTTGCTAACTGATCCTGAACTTAATAACTGCCTTAGGGAGAGGCAGTAATCACTTTACTCCTGCATGTTTTAAACTCTTACTCAGCCTGCTTCAATCAGAAATGTTTAGAAATGGATTCAGTTTTACTGCATGAACAGGAAGCTTCAGACTATCCATTCTAAAATTATTCATGTGAACTCCAAATATTTTATTTACATCTTTAGTCTAAGAACTTCCATGTAATTTTTGCCTTCATAATCCAGCATTCTGCCAAATCCTTTCCAGCAGTGGTGAGGACTGTTTGGATGGTTACACGCGATTTTTTCTGAGAAATGGAAGGTCTTGCAGCTGCAAAGACAGACTGAAAATCTGTGCAATTGTAGTGGGTAGAGAGGGTTCTTCCTCATTTTAAATTTAACTAAATTTGATGTTCAGGAGTTTGCAGCCACGAGGAGCAGCAAAAACTGACCAAAACCAAACACTCTTGTGTTCCTTCACTTCCCTTTGTTGTACTGAAACCTTTGAAACCCTTGAACCTGATATTTAAGATACCTCCCCATTTCAATTAAATAAGCCAAGTAAATAGTAAAACATCTCATTATTGAATAAATTTGTATTACTTCTCTACATGGGATCTCCTTAGCTCCATGGTGCACTTGGTAAATGTGAAAGCTCATGTTCCCACACAGTGATTATTTGCTTAATCTCTGCCTCCTGCCAAAGCTTCTCCAAACCTCCTATTTTAAAATTCATCATGGAGCATGAGAGGGGAGCATTCAGTGTGGTTTTTTTATTTTTTTTGGTTTTGTTTGTGGTTTTGGTTTTTTCTTTTAATATTACCATCCTCAAGCTGTCTTGCTCTCAGCAGTGGTGAAGTGTCTGGCTCACTCTCT